TTTGAGACGAGGGACAATCCAATGAACAAACGGCATCTCTTTTCTGAATTGTTCGCGATAATGTTTTTCCAACCATTGCTGCTTATGCATGTTCAAGGTAGAATTTTTAAAACAACGAGGGCATATAATTGAATATAATTATTTATTTTTATTATGCAATGGCCAGGAAAATACAGTTTTTTTGCGTTAAGTAAAAGGCATGGCTACCGCCAAAAGAAGAACAAAACAACCTACAAACTCTTATTACGGGCTTGACCTAATCGGTTCTGATTTGTGATCTGTCAATTCAATTATTGACATCATGCCAAGGTTTGAATTTCTGTCAAAGAGGAGTGTCTACATTTCTTACTTTATAATATTCTGAATAAAATTGTCTTTAATAAAAATAAAGAAAAAAAAATCAATTATTAACAATTTTAATATTATTTTTCAAATAGATTATATTACCGATCGCTGTTTCATATTACCAAGAAAAATTGGATATTAACACAATCACAGGAACTTTTTTCCTCTTATGTTTGACTCAAGATCACATGTACTGGCATTTTTCAATAATTTATTAAGCCCTTTAGCACGGTTTTTCAAAATTGGATAAATTATTGACAATTTTAATATTGTTTTTCAAATAGACCCTGTTACAGATCGCTATTTCATATTACCAAGAAATATTGGATATCAACATAATCACAGTAATTTTTTTCCTCTTATGTTTGACCCAAGATCACGTGTACTGGCATTTTTCAATATTGTATTAAGCCCTTTTATCTAATAAGTAAACTGTACTCATTAAGTAACATAATCATGCAATTAATAGCCAGAAGTTTTCATTCTACTAGCACGCTGCATTAATAGTAGAGCAATAAAATCAGAGACATTCATCGTGTTAATTTTAAAATGTTGGAAGTTTAAATTTACAACTGACTGACTGACTGTCACTAATGACTATTCTGTCTTGACTATAGTTATAATATAGAGCATTTTTTAAGAGTTTTATTTGATTCAAAATGTAGAGAATTTGGTAACTTTTATGATTGGTAAATTTTAATTATTATCATTATGAAAGCACTTTTATAGAGTATTTAATGAAGATAAATTAAGAAGATATATATTATTTTAAGGCTAAACTGTATAAAAAACTCTTGAATTTTGAAATAGTCGTATATAACTTCTCTTGCTTTTAAAAATTTAAAATTAACTTCTCTAACTGTTAATTTTATTTTTCAAAACCTCTTATTATTAAGTATGTTATTTTTTTATGAGAATTAAATTATTATTCAACTAAAAAATGTTATTAAATAAAATATCATATTGTAAAATTATGGCTAATTAATTTTTTATATTTTTTAAATAATTGAGGCATTGATAATAGTCAAAACAAATGTTATCATCATCATATAAAATTTTAAATATTTACTTTTGTATTAGTTTTATCTTTTTTTATTATCAATGGTGCATAATTTTTTAGTATTAAAAAATAAATTAATCTAACATGATAATATTTAAAATTTTAAATATTTTAGCCACGTGCATTATATTAATCTAGGATGAAAATATAAATAAAAATTTATATTTTAAAATAATAAAATCATACACCGTTAATAACAAAAAATAGACAAAACTAATATAAATATAAATATTTAAAATTTTATATAGTGATAATAATATTTTTTTTATTATCAATACCTCAACTATCCAAAAAATATGAGAAATTTATTATAAATAGTTATACAATATCATATTTTTATTTAATAATATTTTTTAATTGAATGACATTTTAACCCTAATAAAAAATAATATAATTAATAATATGGGGGTTTTGAAAACAAAATTAAAGGTTATGAGGGTTAATTTTAAACTTTTAAAAGAGATGAAGGTTATATGCAACTATGTCAAAATTCAAAAATTTTTATACATTTAGCCTTATTTTAAAAAATTAAATTTTCGATTGGTATTTTTTAAAAGCAGTAAATTAATTACCAATACTCTATGTTTTGGTCTGAAGGGAGTAATTATTATTAGAACCAAAACCTCAAGTGAGAAAAATGTAAGTTACTCCCTCTATTCAATATTATATATCACTTTTAATTAAATTGCACATCAAATAAGTTAGTTTTTAAAAGTAAACACTATTTTCTTATTGACTTTTATTTAATAGAGTTTTTTAATTATAAAATATTATTGATTATATCTCTAATTAAAAATATTTTATATTTTAATACTCAAGACTCAAAAGAGTTAAGTTTTATTAATTAAAATAAAAGGCATGATTCCAATAGATATAGTTTTTAAGCTATTCTAATTTTATATTTTATGCATAGTTCATCATTAGTATTTAATTTTAATGATTTTAATATTTAATATAATTCAATAAAAATTTATAATTAATTTATTAACCATGTTAATATATCATATGCACAAATTTTGCCTCCACTAACTAAATTTTTTAAGTCTGTGATTGTTGATGATAACAATCGTCTTTTGATAGTTGTAGTCAAAGTTATCAACAATGGCAACCAGTGATGATGATGATTGATAATATCAACAAAAGCAATGGCAGTTGATCAGTGGCGGCGATGATCGATGGTTAATTGCAGCTAGTGGTTGTGGCAAAAAGCAATGATAGACGATGGTGGTTGATTGAGATTGACAATGATTGTGTAATTGAGAATAGAAGTTAACTGAATGGTGATGTCAAGCCAAATAAATTCTAACTATTAAAAGTTAAAGTACAAAAAATCTCTTCAAATTATGAGGCAAATGTATATAACTCTTTTTATCTTTTAATGTTTAAAATTAAACCCCCTAACTTTTAATCTTCTTTTCCAAAAGCCCCTACCTTTAATTAATTATTATTTTATTAATACAGTTATTGCTATGCCATACTAATGTAATACAAATGTCATGTGACATAGAAAAAATATTTTTTATTATTTTTTAGCACAATTTAAGAAGGGGTAAATGATGCTATTATTTTTTTAGTTGAGTAACATTATTCTTATTATTTATGGGCAATTCAATTTTGAGAAAAAATATAAATTTATTATTCTTTATTAATTAAAATAGCTTTTTATATTAAACAAATTAAAAAAATATCTAAAAACTGTTATCGATAAAAGTCATATAGATTTCATTATTTTATTCATTTATATTTTTTAAAATATTATTTGTTTGCAGCTATTATTTTCTTATTTGAATAAAGGTTTTTTATTATTTAAATAAAAATATATATTACTAGTATATTGCAAATGAAATGTGTATTGCTTTAGAATAAGATATTTTTTTCTATTGGTAATTTGTATCGATTTTGTAAAAATAACTTATAAAATGTGATAATTTTATTATATTAAAGGATACATTTTTATTTATAAAATTCTTATCAAGAAGAGTTTTTAAATTTTTTTATTTAATATAAAAGACTGTTTTAATTGATAGAAAATAATAAAATTATAATTTTTTATTAAATTATGTTACCCATAAATAGTGAGACCAATGTTACTTAACTAAAAAAAATGAGAACATCATCATGTGTATTAAAAGTAAAAATTATAATTTTACTGCTCTTTAAATTACATTAAAAATAATAAAAATATTTTTTCATGTTATATGCCACGCGTGTTGCATTGATCTGATATAGCAATAATTATATTAATAAAATAATAGTTAATGAATAGTAGGGGTTTTGACTTTTGAAAAACAAAATCAATAATTAGGAGGTTAATTTTAAATGTTTAAATGTGAGAGAGTCATATGTAATTATTTCAAAATTTAGATAAATTTTATACATTTTAACCATAATTAAATATATTATATTTTAAAAATAAGAAAAATTAAAAAAACAATTTTAGAAAACGTTCAAATTCATAACAATTACTTGAGAAATTTATCATTTTTAAAAATTGAAATCAAATTTCTAGTTTTTTAAGTAAATTTTTTTGTTTCATTTTATATTTTCTTTTATAAGTTCAAAACAAAATCATTTATTAAATTTTTAGATAAGTTTAGCAATATAATCAAAATTTCTACGCGTTAATTACATGTCTTAATCTGTTTGTGGACACCTTAGAAAACCTATCTCTATATTTTAAAATGAAGGGAGGATTTTTTTTCCCTTTAAGTGGTGTTATTTATCATAATGATAATAAAACTTCAAAATATAGTTTGTCTGAGATTTTTATAATAAAATATTTTTTAAAGTTACAATATGCATTTTCATACAACATATCATTCTATCAAGGAGACATATATATAAAATATGCTCCTTTCATCATAAATTAAAAGATACTTTAAGAGAGATTTGGAGTTTCAAAATATAAAATATCTTTATAAAAATAAAATTTTATTAATGATATGATTTCAGTTATATCATTTTCATTATATTCTCTTTCTTTACTATTCTTTTATAAATGGAGTATTAAATATAAGGTATTTTAAAAATTTATATTTTTATTTAAAAAATTAATTTATAAAGTGCATTTAATAAATTTTATTGACACCATAATTTTCACTAAAAAAATTTTACTCCCTTCGTTCAAAAATATATTCACCCATATAAAGTAGTTACTTACTTTTAAATTAATTATATTTTTTTATATTTATTACTATTAAATAATTTATAATAAATATAAATTCATTATCAATGGGGGCACTTAAAAAAAAAAGACAATGATTATATCTTAAAATAATTATATTTTTAAACACCCAACTTTTAAAAAATATTTTATATTTTTAAACTGAACGAGTATAATTTAAGATAAATAATAATCTATAGACTCTATACTTTATAAAATGGGTAATGGGATCACGGGAATATATAATACAAAAATTATATTAATTAAAATGTGTGCGTTTGTGCGTATAATATTCCACTTGAAATTTTTCTTGAGAAACAAAACTAACCGCATCGGAAGCCTTTGGTCCTAACCATCCTTGGGTTGCGAGATGACAAACTTTGACAATCACGGGTCCTTAGATAGAGCCACGTCATCTGCAGATGGAATTGTTACCGCACCGTAGCATCTCCCCTCGTATTCGTATATTTCTCTCCTTGGATCTCTCCTTAAACCCTCTCCATATGAAAGCCATCACCAAACCTCTCTCTGTTCTTTCTGTTCCAATTCCATCTAGTTTTACGGGCCCCTTCTCTGCAAATTAAGCTAATTAACCTGTCTATTACCTTTTCATTCATAGTCATCGTTATCATCACCATCAACCTGTGCTGTTCTAGCTGTAATTGCTTTGATTGATGCCGATTGCTAGCGCCCCTGTATCGCCGCCGATCGATCACGTTCTTTCGGCGGGGTCGACAATGCTGCCGATGCAACCACCGCCTATATGTGTTTCTGACTCCTTCGCCAAAGACGCATTCATTTCTTGGATTCGGACCGAGTTTGCGGCTGCAAACGCCATCATCGACACTCTATGTAGTCATCTAGCTCTGCTAGCTAAGCTAGCGGACGCTTCTTCTGACTATGACTCCGTGTTCGATGCAATTCATCGTCGTCGTCATACCTGGGTCCCAATACTGCAGATGCAGAAATATGACTCCATTGCTGACGTGACGTGGGAGCTCCGCAAAGTGGCAGGGAAGAAAACTGGGACTAAGGAAATCGGAGAAGGTGAAAGGAGGAATGAGGATTTAGGGAATCAATTGGATGAAAAAACGAAAATCGAAGAGAAAGGAATGGGAACTAGTGTAAATTCTGAAGGCGACGAATGTCCCGAAGAGTATGATTCGCCTAACAGCGAAATTACTGATTCAGGTAATTTCCTTAGCTTTCTTGAAGCTTCCGTGCATTCTGATATTTCACCGGTAGCTTGAGATGATTCATATTCATAGTAAAGCTTATTTCAAGAATTTTGTCAAATTTTATTTTTTTCCGGATTCAAGAGTACAGTAAACCTTGGGGAATTATGATCTTAACTTTTTCGGTGGAATAAAAATGTATGGATGGACCATACAAATACAAAGAGGAGGCACAGAGGGATTTAAATTTGTTTTTCAATGGCTGATTTCTGCTATTTTTGTAGCGCTTCTCCCTCAAAACGCGATGCAGCATTTTTCAAAAATAGAAAAAAAAATAAAAGAGCGATGCGGTAGGATTTTTCAGTCCTTCCCCGAAGAAAGAAACTGTCGCAAATCGGAGCGAAGTTGCTTTTCGTTGCTTTTTTATTTATAAAAAAATTATTGAACGAACAGATCTTTTTGTTTGCCCCTACAAAGAATTTTAACGAAATGCATTTTTGCTTCAGTTCGAGTTCGATGACATAATATCTGGCTATCTGCCAACTAATTAAATCAGTTTGTTTCTAGAGTTCTCTGTTTTGCGAACGTTCTGTTGCGCAGTGATAGATGCTGTTATTATAGAGTGATCCATCTAATTTTTTCAGACATTTTATAATCCATATACAATCCCTATTTTTCAGTTTCTTTTTGTTACTGTATGCATTACTATAATTTATGAGCAGCAACATTCCTCCATGTCTGTACAGTGGCACATAGACATTGTCATAGAGCGATGATTTTTTGACTGAAAAAAAGAGCGATGATTTTGAAGTGGACAAAAATGTAAGTAGAAAAAAGCAGAGGCTGTGAAATGATAATTTTCCAAGATTTTCGGGTAGTTGGTTTGAGAATACGAGGCGAGCAAAAGTTTGGCCGCATTCGGTGGTACGGTTTGTTGGGGAGGGGCGAATTGAGTAACGTCGATGTAGGCACCTAGAGATGTGTGCAAATAATTCTTCTGATGGTCACAGGCGGCGGAGGTGGTCGTGTGCTCGTCACGTGCGTTTCACTTTCCCACCACTTCTGGGTTTTGGGTTTTGTTTAGCAAAGAGTGATCCTTATCCCATATTTTTGTTAATGAAAACTTTAGGTTGGTTCCATTTTCGGATGTTCATTTAGTTTATGACAAGTCTCGCGGCGTCATAGAAGTGTCTATATATTAATATTAATAGTACTTTCTAACAAAGCTTCCATAATGAGGTGATTTAGCGGGTCAACTTTGGTGTTCTAGGTGGTCAAGGGGTCCAATTTCAACCGAGCTACTGTAGTTCCCTAAAGAGGGTTGGGCAAAAAAAATTTATTGAAGGATATTTTCTCTGATGGAAAAAATTGAGACACCGGTGTGCATTTGCTTGTTGAACATGTAAGTTAGGCATAGGAGTAACTGTTCTGCATTATTTGGCATGCAGGATGCCAGGAAGTGCAAGGAAGTTTGACAAACATCAACATATGTTCAAAGCATGAAGAATGCCAAGGACGTTCTTCACAGATGACGTTGAGGAAAGGTTTTCAAGCGAAGGAGACAGTGAGGGGCCATATGGCAAGTCCTTTCGTGAATTCAAGTACATTGTTTATAACAAGAAGCAAAGTGGGTATCGCTTGCTGATTGAAAGATGACTACAATTGGCAGGTAAATGTTGTGAAGGGATTGAAGCTATACGAGGACATTTTCACCGAACACGAACTCAGCAAGCTCACTGATTTTGTCAATGAGCTTCATGCTGCTGGCAAGAATGGAAAACTCTCTGGTAAACCACTGTTAACTTTTCTTCCTTTTTTGTTCATTCTCTTTACAGTCTCAGTCTAAGCATTTGGATTTTGGAATCAAAGACGACAAATTTTCAATCTAGTTCGCTGAATCAAACGGATTAAAGTTCCAGCAGAATCTTGATGTATTATGCTTTATCATTGTCGTGACTCTAATGGTTTGACTTCCTCAACTTCATCTGCATGACAGGTTTAAGCACAAAAAGGCAACAAATGATGCAAGCTATTGATCGTCAAGTATCAAAAACACTAATAGAAACTTCTGGATGAATGCAGGGGAAACTTTTATATTATTTAACAAGCAGATGAAGGGGAACAAACGAGAGCTGATTCAGCTGGGAGTGCCAATTTTTGGACAGATAAAGGAGGATGCGAACAGTAAGGACAACACAATTGAAAATCATTTCAATAGTCTAACAGTTTTTTCGCTAACATGAAACTGTTGTTTACTTCTTCTGTAACCACTACCTATTCATTACGCACACGGCTCTAAATTTATGGTTAACCTGTAATTCTGTTTCTTCTTTTTGCTAAGGCAATATAGAGCCAATTCCATCTCTCCTCCAAAGTGTCATTGATCACCTTATCCAATGGCGTCTACTTCCCGAATACAGAAGGCCAGATGGTTGTATCATCAACTTTTTTGAAGAGGTAAATATGGCAGCCTTTCTGGCTTTCTCTTCTTACTGTCCAACCTGTATTAGTCTAATAGAAATTTGAACTATTTCTCACCTACGTAACTATTTAGCAATGACGTTACAATGTATTTCTTTAGGGGGAATATTCTCAGCCATTCCTGAAACCACCACACCTGGATCAACCTCTGTCCACTCTTCTTCTTTCTGAATCGACTATGGCTTTTGGGCGTACCCTTACGAGCGAAAATGATGGGAACTACAAAGGGCCACTCATGCTCTCACTGAAGAAGGGGTATATATATATATATATATATTAAAGAACTGATAAATACTCTTTGAGGTCACAATTTTTCCATTTATACTAATTAAGATTCCATTTACAATACTAAATACAAAGTCCCTTTAATGTTAAAGTGATAAGATAACACAATTACAAAACGCAAATGAAATGTTTTTCAGAGAATGAAATTATGTGTTGCCATTTATGCGTATCACTTGGTTAGATGGTCTCTCTCCTTTTTCCTTATCCTGTTGAATAACAGAGAAACTTGCACGTAGGCAGGGGATAAAAAACAGTTGCTTCCAGCGATTTCAATTTCTAGATTTGAGGTAGGAGAACCAATTACTAGTCTTGCCTAGGGTTGCTTTTGTCATCAGTTGGAGCCCGGGAAGCCACTTTTTTGTCCACACATACCTGTTATATCATTCAAGTAAATTTGCTAATTGTGTTGCAAATGGACAACTTGCATCATGCACCAAATATATAACTTCATAAACACAGTATACCCATTCCTTCTCAGTTGTTTTCTTCGTTGAATAAGCATTTAGTGCTTATGCAGTAAATGCCAGAAAAGCTTTTGAAACATTGTCGGGGAATATAGGGTGTGGCACTATCTGCATTTGGGTAGTTGTGTGGAGAATTTGGTGCTAACTTCCTATGACGGACAATATCCAAATAAGCCCGCAAGAAATGGAACCTTGACAGGGAAGTGACGTGTCTTCTTTGACTGAAGTAGATGTGGATCCCATGTAATACTTGAAAAAATAACATGCACATGCATATGTAATTTGTTATAGGTTTTATACTTTGAAGTTCAATGTGTTGAATCTTTCTCATGTGTCTTCTAGTAATACAACCATAAGTACTAGTTGATACATTCTATTCATAGCTATCCTTTTTATAGTTGGAGTTTGAACACGTGCTTCAATGAAGGAGGAATACCTAACCTTTTTGCAGGTCTCTTCTAGTGATGAGAGGCAACAGTGCTGACATGGCGAGGCACGTCATGTGTCCATCCCCAAACAGAAGGGTCAGCATCACCTTCTTCAGAACGAGGTCAAACTCCAATCAATGTCAATCACCAACTCCTTCAATGGTGATGAGTGCCATGACTTTCTGGAAACCCGGAATTTCTGGTCCATATGCGTTGCCAAGTGTACCTCCCAGTGGACCCGAGGCAATGGGAATGATGCCCCAATGGGGAATCCTGCGAGCTCCACTGGTGATGTTAGCCCCTGTAAGCACTCGAGAATTAGCTGGTGGAGGAGGAACTGGGGTGTTCTTGCCCTGGAATGTGCCATCCAGAAAACCTGCAAAGCATCTTCCACCACGAGCTCAACGAGCTCGACTTCTAGCTTTACCTTCCTCAGTTGAATCACACATCTCAGACTCTTCTTCTGAACCCAGCGTTAGTGCTTAAGGGAAGCCTTGGTTCAGGAAGGGTATATCATGCCTGAGTTATTTCCTTCAACAAACAAGGTCCAGCTGTCACTGGAGGAGTTTGGTTCTCAACCCTTTTTTTTTTTTTGGTATTTTCCCCCCTCACTTTTTCTTCATTACCTTCAGAGTAGATCTAGTGGTGTTCACAGTAGTTCTTTCATGGATGCCAATCACAGTATAGAGCAGCCAAGCAAGTTAAAATTATATGAAGATCTAGCCCTTGTTATTATGTGATGATCATCCCTAGTTCAACTTGTCAAATTTGCTATAAACGTGTAGAGAAGAAGCTAGCATGGTTATTTGATCATTTGTTAATACAAATCTCACCAAAGAAAAGGCATGCAACAATTGCTCTAAGTATGGTTGAAGCCCTGCATTTGCATGAAAATTAAGATAAACCACACGACTTATAAATATTAACACTATCTACGCTTTTTTTATTTTATATTGATCATGATTATACCAATGAAATTTCATTTACTTGTTTGATCTCGTTTTATTATTATGACAACTCCCCTTTTGAAGCAATTTTTTTTTTTGGGCCTTTGAAACATTTTAATTCACAATAGGAAATACACTCAGGAAGAAACAGCAACACAAATGTGTTTATTATTATGACCCCACATCTCTTAACCTTTGTTTCACTCTCTCTCTCTCTCTCTCTCTCTCTCTATATATATATATATATATATAGTTTTTGTATTCATTTTGCAAACTTGAAGGATCTAAGTCAATTTTTTTGGGCCAATCTTTCACAGTAAAAACTGAACAAAATAGCCCCTGGGAAATAAGAGAATATACAAAGTATCCGAACTTTCATAAGAGACCAACAAAAGGAAACTTACCAAAATATGGTCACATTGCTTTCCCTCCCTTTTGGGTCTACTATTGTCACATTTGCTTGATGTGTGTTTGACTATTTGTGTCAATAATAACACTTTCCCAATTCCCATGATGATTACAAAGACGAGCTCATTTTAAAATTTGAGCCATTCATTGAAAAAGAAAAGAAAAGAGACGGGCGGTTTCGGTTTTATTTATATTAAAATTTCAATATTTTTTTAAATAAAAAATGCTCTAAAATTAAAGCTTTTTAACTAACAATTTTTATTTTGCCTTGGATGCATCGACATCACTCGGGTGTCCATGAGAGAAGCAACCAATCCAGACCCATACCCGCCGCCATTGCATAAAGTGATAAAACCAAATGGAAGCATCATTGAACGGATGAAAAGAAAAAAGAAAATAAACCACTCATAAAGAGATTAGCCAATTTTGGGACTGAGAAAAAACTTATCTGTAACTTTTCTCATCTCTTGACTGTTAAATAAAATCTATGCTGGTTAAAAAAAAGTTAAAATAAAAATCTATGTATAATATATATCTCTTTACAATTAATAACTTACAAAGTTTCATGCAAAACATGAAACCTATTGTCCAGATTTTAGTTAAAAACAAAAAGCGCATGATTTTTTAAGATGAATATATAACTACTTAATTAAACTAGACATGTTTCACCTTGAAGGGAACCAGAATGCTTCTCACAAAATAAAATGCAACTTATGGCAGTTGTTATGTATGTCGCATTTCTATGCTACCTGTAATGATCCCATTTCATCTTTCATGCGCCATGTGCCAATACCCAATAATTCATTCAAAGTGGAAGCCAGCAAAACCAAAACTATCAGAATCCGGACTAATAAACAGTATAAGAACGAAAGCTGACCTCATCAACCAATCGTTTGTCATGTTCAAAAACTTCAACCCGCGTTCCAGGTAGAAAGCGTTTATTAAGCATCGGATGGAAGAACCCCCTCCCCCTCCTCAAACATCATTTTCCTGCACTATGTTTATGCCACAGCCACAAGAAAAAAGAGAATTTCGTCCCTTTTTTCATATCAGAAGACTAAGAAAACATACATATAATTCCATGGAGTCCAATTACAATACGGGAAACCCACAAAGGTCGCCAGAGCAGTGCAAAATATTTGCAACTATATATTGGTTAAACTTTCCTCACAAATAACAAGCCAATCCTCATAGAAGTCTAAACAAATCGAATCATTAATCGCTCATTGGTTTTAGACCAAGCTTGTACCAGGGCAGGACATACCTTGAGAATTATGCTACCTGGAGAAAATTATAAACACAAGAAGAATAGCTTCAATCACCACTGCTTAATTCCTGCAAAGATTGAGGAGCTCATAGAGCCGTGTCTGGCAGCTATAATTAAAAATGCACCGAAAGTTGATCCTCCCACATCTAGTATCAGAGATCAGGCTTGAAAATCAGCAGGTGCAAGCCTCATTAAGTTCCTTCCTTGTGCATACAAATGGCAATGAGCTCTATCATTTGATGCATCAACAAGCATCCCTTTGATGTCGTTATCATAGAAAATTTGTCAAAAACGATATAAACAGCAAGCTCATCTAGAACAGAACTTCATTTATGAAGTTATCATCACTTGGATTCAAAAAAGATGAATTTATTGGTCACTTACTGATGCTAATCAAATAGAAGAAGGGCAACTGTGGAAGGCAAAAGCTTCCTATCAATTGAGAAGAGAAAACAAGACAGCAAATATATAAGTTAGCAGGGACAATATTCTGATGCGTTAAAATTACTGGCGAAAAATGAACAAAACCACAAGCAATAGTATCAGAGAAACAGTTGCTTTTAATACATTCATAGAAAAAAGACAACATTACTACAGTATTAATTTTTACAAACATAAACAAAAGAAATGGCAAATTTCCCTAACAAAGGCAAACTAGCATATATATCTTTCGAAGAAGTCAAAAGGCAAATGCATCAAATATATCAAGCCTTGGCGGGCTTCTCATCATCATCATCTTCAATGTCCCAACTCAAGTCTTCATCATCTTCTGCAGCACTCAGGCGCTTCCGCAAATCAACTTTGTTTGGGCTACCACTCTGAGTCGTTTTCTTTTCTTCGATAGAACTAAGATCCTCAATCTCATCCCACCCAAGGTCTTCCTCCTCCGGTGCCGAGTGCTGGCTTGAAACTAGTGAAGAATCATTATCTTTAATGGAAGATTTGCCATCATCAGCCTTTCTTTCTGCCACCAATTTTGAGTCAGACTCTGTTGCCGAGTAATTCTTGTTGACCACAGCCTTCCCTTCAGATATTGATTCACCACCTGCTTCCTTAATATTAATATTGCTTCCATCATCCGCTTGATGAACAACTTCTACTTTCTCAGCTTTAGATTCCTCAACATACTTATCCCCCTTGTTCCCAATCTGCTTATCATGCAATGAGTCGTCTCTCCTTTCTATTGTAGATTCCTCCCCCAAACGATGCTCCTGTTCCACATTAGAAATATTTGTTCCCACCTTGCTAGTAGAAGAGCTTCCAACTTGCAGCTCTGTATCCACACTTTTTTCCAAAACTTCACCACCTACGTTTTTCTTGTTGAGGTCCGGCTTAGCTTGAACTTCAAACCCCTTGTCACCATCATCATCTTCGAAATCCCAGCTCAAATCCTCATCTTCAAATGACGCTCTCCCTACAAGCCTAGCCCTCAATTCCTCGGCTTTCTTAAGCCTAGAAACTTTATAATAATACCTATACCAGAAAGTTTTATGATCAACGCTATTTGGGACAACCCTTCTGTAGATACTCTCCATTTCACCATTTTCTCTGAGATAATTCTCAAATTCTTCTTGTTTTCCCTCCAACGAAAACTCCGATTTCCACTTACTATAGTCATTTAAATCATCGGGCTCCTCACAATAAGTACTAGCATCGCCCTGAATACCATGGACCTGAGCATCAAATCTACTATAGGCTTTCAAATTTACGCTCTTATCGCCACTGAATTTCTGATTATTGACGTTGTTATTATCTGAATCAGATTCAAGTGCGAGATTGCATCCTTACCTTGAGAGATGATCTGAGCCGTGTTTTTCACTAAAGAGTTACCAAACTCATCAAAGGCATGACCGACCGTTTCCAGAGAATCCTGAGCAACCTCAATCTCCTTTTTCAACCCCGTTCCAAATTCCTGCAGGTCACGACGATAAGTCTCGATGATTGATTCAGATTTAACGGTCAAGGTTCTAATCAGACCCCCAAAGTTCCACCCGGCAGCATCAGAATCATTAGTGCTTGAGCTGATCACCGATCCATGTTCAATTGGCGAGGAATCGCGATGAGGGCCATCTCGCCCTTCGTTTTGCAGTGCATTATTGGGGATCTGAGATGTGGATTCGGATGGAGGAGGATCTGGTTCGTCGGAGAAAACTGATTTGAAGAAATTCATGATGAATCGCGAAATAAAGAATCACGGAGATTGGAATGCTGAATTAAAATAAGTGAGAACTGAGAATAGAAGATTTATGTATAAATCATGGATGTAGATTAAAAACAGATGAATTCGTCGCCGTTACTGCAATGCGTATGGTGCGGACACGGCCGTTGGATGGTCGACGTCCGGTGAAAGGAAAGAGAAGACGAGAGAGTCCGTACCAGACTGGTTTTCATCCAGAATATGCCCTAGCCGCAACGTTGAGCCGAAGTTAGTTATATCTAATCTGAATAAGAAAATTTAGATAAAAAATCATTAGTTGTTGTATTGATGTGAATTGATTTGGCATCCGTTATGATTAATTCGATATGATTTTAAGATGTGCGATTACAAATTTAAATTTTTGGCCAAAAAAAAAGATTACAAATATAAATTAGAGTAGATAATTGTTTCATATTATAACAGGATCATGATACCGTGATTTAGGGTCTGTTTAGCAATTTTACTTTTTCATATTTAAAAAGCAAATTTTATTTTAGAATATCGGAAGTTATTTGGATAAAAAACACATCTAAACTGTAACTAAAAATAAATTTAAAAAATATAATTATTTAAATTTTTTAAAAAATAAATTTAAAAAGTGAGATATTATTTGATCATAATACTTAAATTTAATCTCTCCTTCTTTTATTTAAAAAAATAATTAATTCATTAAAAATATAATTATGATCTTAATAATAATAATTAGGTATTAAATTTTTAGCATTATAAATTAAATAATTAATCATATTAATTTTTAGCATTAATCAATAATAAAAATGACAAATTAAAAAGTAAAAATAACTAAAGACCAAGTTTTTAGCACTATATCAAAATTTATGTTATTTAAAATCTTTATCACATTTTTTAAGTGTTTCAAATATATTAAATTTGTATAATAAAAATTAAAAATTATTATAAATTAATGTTCCTTCAATAATTATATATCCAAAAGCACATTTTACTATCATAATTCAAATAACTTTCAGTATATTAAACCGACTTTAAAAAAATGCATTCAAACACAAATTTCATCATAACAACTGACTTACGCTAAACTCGTTTTTGTCAAACAAGTGTGTGTTTGGTTTTTAGTTTGTCAAAAGTCAATTTGATAAAAGTTCATTTGATAAAAATTAATTTAGTAAAAGTTAGTTATTGTAACGAAGTTTGTGTTTGAATATATTTTTTTTAAAAGTCAGTTTGATAAACTGAAAATTGTTTGGATTAATAAAAATTTGTGCTTTTAAAATATACTTTTTTAATATGCAATGACAAAAAATGACATTGATTTATGATAAATTGTAATTTCTATTATACAAATATAATATATTAAAAATGATTAAAAAATGTGAAACAAATTTAAAATAATATAAAATTTAAAATGTTAAACAATAAGAATAAAAAACATAAAATTTAATATTGAAAAAAATTATATAACAAATAGTTAAACATTCATTAATATTGACCAGTTATATGATTAACAATTCGATATGTAATATACAATTTGATTTCTAATAAAATTTCAAACTCTATTTATCTCTCTATCTAGTGGGGTACTATTTCAATATTTTTTTCCAACAAACTTTGGGCTTTATTTGGTAATTTTTTCAAAGAGATTATTATATCATTCTCTCCCTTCTTCCTTGTCATTGATACACATAACAAAATAAGCGATGACTTGTGCTGTTTCTTTGCTTTTCTTCTCCTCCCCATTGCATTAGTTTCGGTTCTATTATTAGCATGCATGTCTCCTTAGCATCAGAAAGTTGTCCACTCCCCTTCCTTTTGTTGTTTGTTCATTTCTGTCTAGTATTGTAGCTAAATTTTTTTTGTATTCTTCACTATTGTGTGGCTGAAAGAGAAACAAAGTGTCTTTCTTTGGTGATACACACATAGAAGAGAGAATGGGAGATTAGTTCTGAAACACATGTTGACTCCTGAGCCCGAGCACGAGAAAGACAAAACTCAGAAGGGGGTATCATGGTCATTTTAATGCTTACATGCTCAAAGTCCATTTCAAAAGTTACAAAACAAAGCTTTTGAATTTTTCCATTTTGTCTCATTTTCAAAATCCTTTTTAAAAGTCAGTTTTATATGATAAATGGACGCCAAGCAACATTTGACTTCCTAAAAGTAAAAAGTAGTATTATGAATGTCAAACGTAGAGAAACCAAACGCACCCTAAACTTTTACCAAATAAATTTTTGATAAACTAAAAATTAAACATAAATTTATTTTGTTATATTGATGTGAATTGAATTGGCATAGAATAACATAGATGTTTAGATGTTTTTAGCAAAGAAAAAAAAAAGGAAAACATATGTGTGTTCTTATAGTTTACTCCCTTCATTCAAAAATATAAAGCATTTTTTGAGGAGTTGAATATTCAAAAATGTAAGGTATTTTTAATCTTTCGAGGTGTAATTATTGCTTTTTTTTTAAAAAAAGTCCCTATTGATAAATGACTTTATATTTATTATAGAGTATTTAATAGAAATAAATATAAAAAGATAGAGTTAGTTTAAAAGTAGATAACTACTTTATTGAGAATAAAATTTAATTAAAAATATTTTATATTTTTAAATAGAGAAAGTATATCAATTTTTAATTAAGTTCATTTAATTTTATTTGTTGAAATTGAGCCTTTGTATTTTTATACATTAAACAAAGGCCTGTGCAAAGAACCCAAGAATTCGATCTATTCGGTTCTGCTAGGTGACATTGGACTGGGTTTCAACCCGGTGAAATTCAGCCTGACCAAGTGGGAGACTAAGACCGAGTTGTACACTAGGTTAGATTGGGTACTGGGTTAAAGGTCTTGATTGATTGGCCTGGTCTGACCCGGGGTATATTTTATTTTTCCTTGAACAAAGTTGATCTTGTGCATTTGCTTTCGGGAGATAATAGAAGTTTCTTGAAGCGCTAAAATTAGATAAACATTTTCACTATCTCTTAGATATTTCTACTTTCTTTTTTATCGTCAAGTTTCATCTCCCTCCTTTCTCTTCGACGATGCGGCTATTCACATAATCTAATCTCTACCGTACTTTCATTGTGAAGACTACCTAGACCACCATTTCTATTCAGGTTAATCTTCCTCTCCATATCACTTGATGCATGCTTCAAACTCCATTTGCTCTATATAACTCTTTATTTGTCATTTTCACCAGCCCCCTACTTCGCATCTCTTTTTTTGTTCATTATTGTGTGAAGAAAGGACAATGCTGCATAAAGATGAGATCTTTTTTATATAATCAGTGTGTCTTGGTAGAGAAATAGGGTAAAGGTGGTTCTTTTTATTTTAAAATATTTTTTATGATCCTTCATTTGACTATCAGAGCAATAGCTTAACTTGATCTACAACTTTGGCTTCGTTTTGTGTAGTGTTTGTCCCAATAACGGGAACCATAGGGTTTGGGCTTCTCTTTAATGGCTGACAAACTATGAAAAGGTTAAATAAAGTATATATGTTACTAATGGTAGGGATCATGTTATTGTTACCTTCACATGTTTGCCACGAGAAGGGGGTGTGTGTGTGTGTGTTTCAAAGCATTCATTGAAAGGATAGAGCTTTTGAATGTTTGGTAATTATTTACTAAAAAGGACTTTCAATTTTCAATGCTCAAAAAGGACCAAAATGAATATGTAAATGTTAAAGTTTCGAACAAATAAATGTTCTAATGGTTTTCAATGTGTTTGTATGGTTCCAACATGAGCTTCTATTGTCGAAAGTTTATGAATTATGGTGTTTGCTTTAACGGGTTCTACCGCTGTTAGAATCAATATATTAGTGCCCGTTTGGTTTGCGTCAAGAATCGATTTTTTGGGGTTTAATCGATTTTCAAAACAAAATTTGCCAAACAGTAGAAAAATGCAATAATCGATTAGGGAGGTTAAACGCGCGTTAATTCTTAATCTACCAAAACCAGCTTCAGCTTTAAGCTTTTTACCGTTATTCACGTGCTCTTTATCTGTGCCCTTCACGTGATTGAGTTCTCTTCTTTCTGATCCTCGTTTGTCTTCTATCAGTCGCAGCTTTCTTTCTGTGATCTCCTCTTTCGTTCAGCTCACCAGTCGGTCCTCACGGTGGTGCCGCCGCTCTGTCGTCGTCCAGCCATCCCCAACTTAGTCACCGTCCACCATCTCCCGTCGTGCCGTTTTTGCCGTCGTCCACCCACCTCCAACAGGTGTGCCGTCTCACAGTCGGTTCTCACAGTCTTTCGACCATCTTCCAACTCTGTGCAGATCTATGGTCCTTGTGGCGTCACCTCCTCCGTCCACCGTCTCTGAGTTGCTTCCAGTGGTGGTGATCTCTTGCTATAGTCGAGGAAGGCAGTAAGCTTTATCTATACTCTGTTTCCTCGATCTGCTCATGGTCCTCCGTCCGTCGTTGATCTGCTGGTGGTCCTCCGTCAGTCGCTGATCTGCTCGTGGTCCTCCGTCCGTCGCTGATCTGCTCGTGGTCTTCTTCAGTCGGTCTAACTCAGAGGTAAGTGATCTTCGCTTTTTGGACGATCTTGTTCAGGTTTGATCTTGGTCAAATTTTGTTTTCCTCTCCACTCTGATCTATGCATGGATAGATTTGTTCTCGGGATTGCTGGCTTAGTTTTGTGTGGCTTGAACCATTTACAACTCTTGAACATTTGCAAATAATAAGATGGGTGAAAGTTGATTTTTTTATGCTATTTCTGTGTTAGTTTTGTGCCTAGTTGAACTCTGTGCTGAACATGGGAGACCTGTTAAAAGTTAATTTTGTAGCTATTGAAACTTGATTTTAGTCAAAATCTATGCATTTGCAAATTGTGGGAAAGCTGGTGAAAGTTAATTTTGTGCCAAGTCGAACTCTTTGCTGTTTTTGGTTTGTGATCACTGATTACTGGAGCTTTATTCTCAAACATTATGTTTTGCATATATAGGGGTCATTTAGTCAAATTTTTTGCTGTGTGAGTCTCTGTTGAATTTGGCTCCTCTAAAAATTGCCAAGTTTTTATCATGTAATATTTTAATTATAATTCCTATAATTAATATGTTAGTTTTTTTACATAGTATTATGAGTAACAATAAGTCAAAAGCTTCATGGGATCGAAGAAATACTAGAATCTTTATTGACATTTGTTTGGACCAAGCTCGAAAATCGCAAAGAAATGGTGGTAGTTTTATCAAAGCAGGATGGCTCAGCATAATTTCTACCTTCAATGAGAAGACTGGACAGAAATATGACAGACAACAATTCAAGAATAAGTGGGATAATATGAGAAAAGAGTGGGTACTGTGGAATAAGTTAGTTTCAAGTGAGACAGGATTGGGTTGGGATTATGCAAACAATACTGTGGATGCTTCAGACGATTGGTGGGAGAAGAAGATATTGGTATGATCTTATTATATGAGGCTTTATATTTATTTTATTTATTTATGTATTCTGTAATATTATTGATAATTTATGTGCAGGAAAATCCATTATATGAGAAATTCAGACATAAAGGATTACCATTTGCCAATGAATTAACCGAGTTGTTCCAAGGTACTATCGCCAATGGACCTAGAGCATGGGCACCTTCAAGTGGAGTTTTGCCTAACATTTACAATAGGAATGAAGGTGAGGATGAAGAGGTGTATCAGCCTGATATGGCAAATGAGGGTATTGATTTGGAGGAAAGTTCAGGAGATAGTGATGAGATCTTAGGAACTACTGGAGTAAGCGGTGAATTTAATAGAGTAGTTTTAAATGCTTCTCAAGGAACCTTAAGTGGAAGCAGTGGTAAAAGGAAGAGGGGCGAAAGCAGTAACGGTAGAAAGAAGAACAAGTTATCTAGTACAAGTCAAATAGCAGATGCAATGAGTGTGATAGCTTAGACAACAAAGGAAGAATCTCAACAGGCCAAGGAAACATCAATTTCCGAAGTCATGTCTATGTTAAACAATGGGAAGAAGTTGCAACTAATAAACATTGGGTTTCACGATGCATGTCACTCTTCATGTCCCGAGAGGTTAGGGTGATGTTTTTGACGATGAAGGATGATAAAGAAAGCGTTTTGGAGTGGTTGAGATATGAATGTTACAAAAATGGTTGATTATTGGAGTTTTAAAACTTATTATGAGTATATGATCTTACTTAAAAAGTAATCTAACATGTTTGTATTATATTGTAGAATTTAACTTATGTAGCCTCTTGAACTACTTATGTACTTTTTATATATGGTAATCGAGTATTACAATGTTGTGGAAAAGTCATTGGTATTTCTATAGATGACTTATTTAGATGTATCTATAATTGAAATTAAGTGCACATATTATTTATGTGTTTGGCTACAGATAGCAAGACATATGGAAGAGTCATCTAAAAAAAGGCTAAATAGAGCCCAAAAAGTTAGTGCTCTCATTGGGTTGTATGCAACAAGATATTTGTGCAAAGAGCCACGAAGAAATAGTGAATATACAGGTCATTTATGGGTGAATGAAATTTTAGAAAGACACCCAGTTCGTTGCTATAAAATATTTAGAATGGAACCACATGTGTTCCATCAATTATGTAGTGAATTGACACGGCATGGATTGAAGGATACTAGGCGAATGAGAGTACAGGAGATGGTGGCAATTTTTTTAAATACAATTGGATATGGGTTGGGAAATAGGATGGCACAAGAAAGATTTCAACATTCAGGAGAGACTATTCATAGACATTTTCATAAAGTTTTAATGGCTTTCTCGAAACTTGCAATGGAATATATTAAACCACAAGACAAGTCCTTTCGTCATGTATCAAATAAAATAGAAAATGATAAGCGATATTGGCCATTCTTTAAAAATGCCATTGGAGCAATTGATGGCACACATATTCCATGTGTAGTCCCTGCTAGTGAAAAATCAAAATATATTGAAAGAAAAGGAATCCCTACGCAAAATGTAATGGCTGTGTGTGATTGGGACATGTGCTTTACTTTTGTCTTGGCCGGATGGGAGGGCACTGCACATGATGCTCGCATTTTTCAACATGCCCTGACAGCTCGATCCATGAACTTTCAACACCCGCCTTCAGGTATTTTTGTTTGTTCAATTTATTTGTGTTAGACTTTCCAGCTTACAGGCATTGATAGTAATTTTTTTAACAAGGTAAATATTATTTGGTGGATGCTGGTTATCCAACACCAAATAGATATCTTAGTCCGTATAGACGGGAACGCTACCATCTTCCTGATTTTAGAAGATCAACTGGATTTGCAAATAATAACGAGGTCTTTAATTATTTTCATTCAAGTTTACGATGCACAATAGAAAGAACATTTGGAGTTTGGAAGAAGAGGTTTGCAATTTTACGCAACATGCCTAGCTATGACTACGATATACAAGTTCAAATCGTTGTTGCATCAATGGCGATACATAATTTTATTAGAAGACACTCTAACTCTGACGCTGATTTTATGCATCATGAGATGGAAGATCAGGAAGACTATGAGGACCAAGAAGACCATGGCGTTGATGGATATTCATCCATGACATCCTCTTCATCAGCTATGACTAGTATTCGTGATATTATTAGGGACCAACTTGTATATTATCATCTTCATTAGTTGTTGTAAAATTACTGTTTTATATTTAAGAATTTAATTTTCTTGTCTTTTATTGAATTTATTTTAAGCAAGATATATTTAGTTATTTATTTACATAAATTTAAATGTTAATATTAATATAATTTAAATTTTTAATTAATTATATATGTAGTTTAAATAATATATTTTGCTTTTTAAATAAAATGTAACAACTTTAATACTATTACATACAAATCTATCATTAATTTAAATTTAAAAAACAATGTCCTTTATGGTAATTTAAACAGCTAAAATTGATTCTAAAAAAATTATCCAAACATCTTCAGTTCTGTTAAAATTAATTTTAGAAAAACAGCATCCAAACATATTGCGTTCTAATATAATCAATTATGATTAAAATCTACCACTTAATCAATTATTTTCATAATCTATTATGTCCAACTGAAATCCAAACGGAGCCTTAATGAAATGTACTTTTAATGTTATTAGCTTTAGGACATCTAGATTATGCAGAAACTATAGCTAACTATACATGCCACTGATTTAGCATAATCTTTATTCTTTTAAACTTTTTTTGAATTTCTCATTCCTTCCTTCACTTGTTTTTTTTTTCAATTGCAGCATTATGTATTTATTTAAAATGACAGATTAAGTGTCTAAAGCAGAAGCAGATCCACCTATCACCAATTTGAATGCTAATAGTGATAATGGAGTACCCATTCCTACACAGCCTTGTGCTCCTATTCCATCCGCAAAAGCTGTAGCTAAAGGGGATAGGGGAAAAAAGAGAAAAGAAATGGGGAACAAACCACCAAAACCTTATGAAGTTTGGGTTTATTTTGTCAAACACCCCATAGATGAAACATGTAACATCTGAAAAAAATTTATCACGATTAATTATCCTAATGAGTGTAATTATTGAGTTGATGAGGTGTGTGATCAGAGAGACCTAATTGATGTGAATTATTATAATTTTAATCTTAAAAGTGAGTCCGAATTGATGGCGGGCTACCTGAGTAAGAGAAGAGGAAGAAAAGTAAAAGTTTGTTCTCTGTGTCACATGTTGCAATTGTGGCTCTAAATATTTTGAATGACTTTTTTTAGTTGTTGCTAGCTGGCTTAAATAGTTCTCTTTTGTTTTTTATTTTTTGTGATTGGCTAGCTAGGATACCTTTTTTTGTGATTATGGACTAACCCTTGACTCTTTTGTTGTAAATGATAAGAATTAGGATAGATTGACTTGTTATTATGATTATGGATAAGCTCTTTTGTTATAAATGATCAAGCATGCCTAGAATGAAAACAGCATCCTCTATTATATTTAATGTTTACTTTTGCTATTAGATTATGGAGCATTCCTTCACGGTTTGTGTTGCATTTGTTTATAAGAAATAGCTATTAGACTTCATTTCAATTATGAGCTCGCGTAATATGTTGGGCTTTATTATTCTTGAAAATTGGTTTGATTTTATTATGATCCGATAGGTTCAATTCTTGAGCAGGGAGGTCTTGTAACCTAGGCTTAGTCTTGTGACCAAACCTGGTCCTGTCTTGGTCTCAGGTCAATCCGAGCAGGACCAGACCTCAGGTCAAAAATTAGTAACCCGACTTCATCAAGACTGGGCATCGAGTGGACTGTAAACCCGGTCTTACCCAATCTTTCAACACTCCTAGTTAAACACATTAATCCTTCCCATAATTAAACCGTGTAAATGCTTTTATACAGTCAAGTAAGGATTTGACACATCAACGTCTCTGGGAGCAGCTCCAGCAAGAACCCCCATCCGCGTCTTCGCCAACTATCTGTGGGGAATTCCCTTTCTTCTCTTGGCCGTTGTATAATTCATCGAAGTCAGAGGCGCTGTTGACGAAGTGAAGCTTTGAAGTTGAAGACTTGCCAGACTTCTATCGGCCATGGCTACTGTTGCTGCGATATGAATGCTCCGAGTTTGACGCCATTGCCGCTGATTGCCTCTTCTTCTTTTTCAGGAAATCCCTCGACATCCTGACGATTTGTTAAAAAGAGCTCATGTTCAGATCCAATAATTTTTTTTTAAAAGCTTTTTCATTGTTTCTTTCTCAAATTGTTCAACGATAGCTTGACCAGAGAAAGACATTGTTCACTTTTCTTGTTTCGTGATTGCAACTTTAAAGGCATTGTGCAAATTAGGCGCCTTGTTAGAATTCTAGTTGTAAGTAAATTGTAAAGAACATCCCATAGAAATTTGAAAGAAATGAGAATAAAATATGAAATAAAGTGAAAGTGAAGACGCTTGCTTAGTAATTTTCTCGCTACACGAAGCCTAAGGTGATGGTGCCATATTGGGGTTGGAAGAAATTTCAGAAAGCAAACCAGCAAGATCATTTCACAGGCGAAGATGTAGATGGGGTTGTTGCCGGAGCTGCTACCAATAAAGATGTTGATGGGTCAGATTCAAAACCTTGACTTGACCGTGTTAAAGCATTTTAATGGTTTAATGATAAGAAGGATTTATGTGTTTAATGGATAAAAAATAAGGAGAATGACAATTAAGAACCTTCTAAGAATATTAATTTTAATTACAGACCATGAAATTTTAAAATCTTAATCCTTAATTATGATAAAAAAAATGCAGTTTGTTAGGTGGAATTTACTATTGTCACTTGAGAATTCATTAATTCAACTTGAGAAAATTTGTAATATGTATTGTGAAAATATAAAACTTCACTTGAAAATTAATTATTTAACAAAAACACTACTTAAGAATTTACTAACTCGACTTGAAAAAATTTTTAACATATATTGTGAAAATATGAAACTCCACTTGAGAATTGATTGTTTAATAAAAAAACATCAATTTGGACAAGTCATTTTTATTAAACAATTAATTCTTAAGTGGGGTTTTATTTTTTCATTATATGCGTTAGAAATTTTTTCAAGTCTAATCAGTAAATTCTCAAGTGATGCTTTTTGTTAAATAATCTATTCCTAAGTAACATTTCATGTTTTTACAATATATGTTAGTAATTTTTTCAAGTTGGGTTAGTGAATTTTCAAGTCGCGTTAGTGAATCCCACCTCACAAATTATATTTTTTTATCACAATCAAGGACCATGGTCTTTAACTGAGATTTTAAAATTTTACGGTTCATAATTAGGATTAATGTTTTTAGAAGATCGTTAATTGTCATTCTCCCTAAAAAATAAAAAATATAAGGATTTACTTCTAACAAATAAACTATGGGAACCTGATTAAAAATTGATATAAACTATAAGAACTCATAGATATATTTTCCCAAAAATATAACATAGATGTTTAGCGGGCCTGGTTCAGCTTATTGTATAAAAAATATTAATTTTTTTAAAAATCTATTTTATAAATTTTTACTATATTTGTTAAATTTTAAAAATAATTAGAATTAAAAAATAAATTTATAATTATTTTAAGAAGCTACTTCACCTAGTTTTTGAAAATGATCCAATGTAGTAAATGAAAAGGAGTATTTAAAGAGGTGAAATGCGTGAAGATTTTACAAAATTTTAAAATAAGATCATAATAAATTATTTTTATAAAACAAAAATTGAGGAAGATATTATAAAATTAGAAAATAACTAATTAATAATTAATTATTTATTATAATAACCAAACATAAAATAATACCTACTTTTTTTTATAAAATCTCTATAAAATAAATCTTTAAATTATCTAAAAATTATTTATTTTTTAATCTTAAAAAAAATGGGCCAAGATTTTCTAATAGTAATTTTTTAATTATCATGTCCTCATTTTATTTATTACAGGATTTCGCATGCAAAGTTTGCCAGGTGAAAATTAGAAGGAAGTGTAAATTGTTTTGACACACAAATCATTATAAAATATGAAAATTATAATATATTATACTATTTATAGATTGTCGGGGAAAAATACTAGTTATAAGTTATAATTAACATATAACATACGTCAGCCCACCAAAAAAAAAAAAACCATATAATATACAACGCTGTGAAAGATGGCAAAAAAAAAAAAAACAAAACAAAAACAAAAACAAAAACAAATTGCGGTGAAATTAAACGGATTCGTGAGATTGACCATTTAGCATGTCAATTGGGCAAGTGTGGATGTGCAAAATGTAGCTCTTTTGAAGTTTTTATTTTATTTATTTTGATAATAACTCTTTTATTTATTTTTTTTCTTTAAAGAATGTGGCTAAATAGTTTTTCAAAGTGAAAATGTTATGCTTGAGCGGTAGTGAATACGAATGCTTATTCAGACATGGAAAGCTATATTCATTTTTCACAATCACATGATATTTTGATGACAGGTTTCAAGATGGACCAAAAATGCAAGTCTCAATTAAAAAATAATTAAATTTAACAATGATACATATCATACTGATATGAGTTGAAAACCTCCTTCGATAGATTGGGTCAAATTTAATTCCGATGGTGCCGTACTGCTGTTCACTCTAATTTGAACAAAGTTGGTTGTGGGGGAGTTCTTAGAGGCAATGAAGGCTTATGGATATAGGCTATTGAGTGGGCTGTTTTACGAAGCCTTCGCTTGGCTTGTGGTATGGTTTCAATTCAACAAGGTAATAATTATTGAGTCCGATTGCTAGATCTTAGCAGATTTACTCAATGGGAGGTATGATCGCCTATACAGTGCAGGCTTAGTACTCTTGGAAATTCAGAGTTTACTCCAGTACATGTGGAGCGTGCAGATAAATTTTGTTCCAAGGGAATAAAATATGGTTGCAGATTCATTGGAAAAAGAAGGAATATCAAGCTCTTCCCTTTTTGATTCGGCTCCCCCATTTTTGGGAGACTTAGTGCTGCAGGAATGTTTGGGATTTTAATCCTTGTCTCCATTTAAATTTTCTAACGAAATTTGGGCTTAGCCTTAAAATAACAATATAATGTATATATGCATTTATTAATTCTGTTACAAATATACAAAATTTTACATAGCCAACAGTTAGATAGCACTATAAATTCGAGCTGGGGAAAAATACTGTGCATCAACATGGAAAGGATATTCAAAGGGGATTTCATCAATTCTCATTCATGTACGTCTCAAGCCAAGTGGATAATTTCACCCAGTTCACATGATAAAAATCGAGTCATATATTTAGTAAGAACCCCAGCTCCATCAAACTGCAAAAAGCTTCACCTTGCCTCTTGATTTGCAGAAGTCAATATTCTTCCAAAGAATGAGCATATGAACGATAGAGATCATAAGGAGCCCAAAGATGATCAACAGGGCAAGGCTTCCTTGCGTCCAATCTCAGCCATGGCTTCCCTTTTCCACTCCAATGCAACAAGCTTATAGGCCCAGGATGCAAGCTCCTGCACTTGCCTTCAACATTGTCCCCTCCCAACCCATGCTGGTTCCACCTATGATCAATCCCTGTTATATTCCCAGCCAACGCCAGCAAAAATGGAGGCAGAGATCCCAAATGATAGATCCTCTTCTGCTTCTGCACTCTCATCCACTCCTCCATCTTCTGCGTGTACCTCCCTTCCCTCCATTTCTCCACGTCCACCACCATCACCCCCGTGTTAAAGTAACAGGGACGACGACCCTCGAATGTCCTCGCCAGTTCTCGCTCCACCCAGAACACGTCCGTGAAGTATCTCGTGAAATTCGCGCCGCAGTATTCCGGTGCTGCAACAACCTTGCCTTCTAAACTTACGTTCCAGAGCTTGGCTATGTCATCTACCACGACGAGATCGGAGTCGAGGTAGATGACCCTCTTGACGCAGCCCGGGATAATGTCGGAAAGGTAGATTCTGGCGTAGTTGAGAGGCTGGTCCAAGGCTTGGCGGATGGACTGGGAGATTTTGGCGCGTACCCGGTTGGATTCGAAGCGGTAAATCTTGAACTTGAGGTAAGGGAAGGTGGATTTGATGGTGAAGAAGACCAGAGGCTGGAACCTAGCCCAGAGGAAATGGAACTCCATGTTTTCGGGACACGTAGAGTGTTTTAACATGGAGAGCACGGCGGCCATGGTGCCTCTGAGGTAATTGGAGTCCAGTGTCATGGCAATGTGGATCCTCTGGGGCTTACACGCCTCTCCATTGCGAAACGCCGGAGCTTCTTGAAAGGCCGCGATTTCGGCGGCGGGGGCCTTGCGGTGAGGATGAGGAGCAAGGACACGAGGCCGACGAGGGGCGGTGGCGCCTGGCTGCAAGGGACCATCATGTCCTGTCCAATAATAGGGGGAAGAGGGAGGGATGGTTAGGGTCTAGGGAGCCATATGGTGAGTAGGATTTAGGAAGAGTGGTTAATTTGAGGGAGTTTTTGGAGTTGTTGAAAGGAGAGAATGATGGATCGTTAATCAGCTATGTAGTTGGTAATAGATTGTGAGGAAGAGAATAAACCTCGGAGAAATTTTAGCCTTTCTGGTACCAGACAAGGTTTCAGTAATTTCAATTTGTTGTCATCCTCGCTATATCTTTGTTCAAACAGTGTCCATTTCCTTGCTATATGCTTTCCAGTGGAAGATTCAGTTTTTATTTTACATTTCTTGCCTGGATTGTGCGTTTAACTGTATACAATGAACTCCCTAAATTTGTAGGCTTTTTTTGTTTAAGAAAAAACGCATATAGCTATAGTCTTGGTTTTTTTTTTTTTTAATGGCCGTTTGATGTTAAGAAAGAAACTGCACCAAGAGACATTACAAGTCATACATTATTGGTTATAGCCTGGTCGGGTATAAGAAAATCAACCAAAATGGCATTCACGTATTTTATTGCGATAAACACTCGAATCTGAAGTTAAATGACCTACTAACGGACCCTTTCTTAAACCATACGTTTTAAGCTTCAATCAAGTCTTCGGTATCAGATTGACCTGTAAATTTTTTCCCAGCATTTTCATCAGATCTACATATACTAGCTTTCTTCCATTTAAGACGTTACCGCGCAATCCAGCAGGAAGTAAAAGAACGTACCCATCCATTCCTTTCTATCTTTCTTTCTTTCTTTCTGGCCAATATCTATCCATTCCTTTCAAAAATTACTTAATAATGGAATATTTGCGGATTACATAGAGTAACAAATTCCAACATTGTTTCTAGGAAGTTTCCAAATTGCATATAATTCAGACACAAGATAAACATGATTTCTGGCATCTTTGTCTAATGGGGGTACTAATATCAACCTATGTAATGCCTGGTCATCCTAAAAATGAGTAAACTCGGTCAGAAAAACAATTTGAAGCGGGATTCACGAACACAAGGTAAACAGGGATTGGGCGGTAAAACTTCGCATATTCAAGAATATTTCAGAATAAAACCGACAGAAAATGACTTTCACTTACTGCCTCTAACTGATTCGTCCCAGAAAAAACATACCAATCAAAAAGACCATCATCCACTGCTCACGATGATGCTTCAACCCGATTATCATCATTTGACATCTTGATCTTTTTTTTAGCAGAATCCTTCTTCCCAACAATCTCAGGAATAGTGTCATGCATTATCTTCGGGGCTGAAAAATCAAAGTCAGAAGCGGATACGTCTTTAATTTCGGGATGCTCTTTTAGATATGACGCTATCTCATTGCGGGTTCTGAGCTTTTTGCCAGTGGGGGTTATGTAATAAGGATCCAGTTTAGAGTAATCTTTTCTCAGCACCAAACTTCTCTTGAAGCCTTCTGGACTCTTTGGGAGGTTAGGCTTGTCGATGACCCATGTTCGAGTGGCATCATACTCGATATCAGCAGGGTCATCACACGATGTATTTGGCTTTCTGTTGCAGTAAAAAGGTTCGTCAACGACATTTTGTCTAATGTCTTCAAACTCCTCTTGTGTATGAATCACCCTCCATTTCAAGCATTCTTGGCACTGTGCAGCAAATATATCAACTGAACCCTGACTCGGCTTTCTCTGAAAGGAATAGCCACCAATTCAGAGAGCAGCAAGATTTTATTAAGAAGGATTGAATTCATTCATCAGAACCAGTAATGAATTTGGGTCTCAAACTTTGCAACCGTAGAATATGCAAAAATGCAAAGCCATCAATAACTCTGTTTCTTGCCTCATTTCTATTTGCAAGAGCCGGAAATTAACCAAGTCATAACAGGAAAACAATTTAACCAGTACTAATGGCTTAGAAAAAATGCAGTCTATGTAAAGTTCATTAAGGAAAACATGACACATGGCATGGAGAATTCAGTTCACCACCAAGGGCACGCAATATGCAATTTGGAGGATAGTCAACCAGTAAGTATTTTGTGAACCCATAAAAACCATTAGCCCAATGGTTAGCAACATCTGTAATAGGTTTTTGCCTATTTCCAATCCATGGGTCGATGTTATGAGAATGAAACCTTGCGCACAATTTTAAGAGTTTTGAAACCATATTCAAATATAAATGCAACATAGCCATGTTCAATTCATTTTAGGAGAGACTTAGACAGTCAACATCACTGAATATCCCCCATGTTATTTAACAAATTTTCCATCCATTATGAATTTAATGCCACGTTAGCATGAGGTTTACAACAAATAGCTGCTTTACTCATCTTGACCGTTTACCCTTTCTTCTTAGTGTAGTTAATGCCACGATGGGCATTTTCATTTCATGTCTTGTATTTGCTTAACTCGCATCTGATGACCATTTGATACATCCCCATTCCCAAACCCTGCTAAAGTTTGTTCCCGTTACAGCCGTGAAGCTAGAAAATTTAGAAGTGCAAGAAACGGAAAAATCTAATGAAAGAACTGAACAAGTGAAGAAACCATCAAAGCCAAGGGGGAAACCAAGTCATATTTTAATTAACACACAGATGCCTTTTGGGGCCAGAAAAAGGAAAAACTCAAATCAAATAGCTCGATGCAAAACTTATCTAGCGCAACGACAGCTCAAAATAACACAACAATCTAATAATTTCATTCTCTTTATTTTCAAATTGCTCCTCTGTTTGATTCCCTAAGGTGAAAAAGCCCTAAGACCAAAATCACACGCCTCATATTTGCTTTCAATTCTGATTCCGGAAAACAAACTATGATGTAAAACCACCATTATCAGGTTATGCCAGTATATATGTCATATTTGAGGTGAGAAAAAAATCACGAAACAAGACCTTTAAAATTTAAGATTCTCAGAAACCTTAGAACCGGATCAAGATGACGATACTCCTTAAATTGATGAATTAAAAGTGACGAACGAGGAGGCGAGTCTCGTACCTTGTTAGGGGACTTCTTAGAATTAGCTTGACCGCCCTTCCCAGAGGCTTTCTCAGACGGCTTCTTCATCTCTCCCCTGTTTCCTTTCCCACCAAATCTCCCCCTCGCTGATAGATGCTGATGCCTCAACAGTAAATTCTCGTGCGAGGGCAACCGGATCGCGCCCTCTTCCAATGCGGCAAGGTAGAAGAGAGTCAAGGCATAGATTCAGCAGACTAGAACAATCTGATCTATTTAAAAGGGCCCGATAATCAACAAGTCGATATGTCCGAGTGGTTAAGGAGACAGACTTGAAATCTGTTGGGCTTCGCCCGCGCAGGTTCGAACCCTGCTGTCGACGATTCTTTTATGTGAGGAGGATTTATTTCTCAAGAGTTCTTTTTTTTTTTTTTTTTGGTTTGGGGCACGGAAAAGGCAAGTTACATGACTTGAAAATAAATCTAGTGAACCAAATTTGATATTGACGTTTGTCTAGTGCTCGAATGAGTTCACAATATTAACCAAGCAAGTAATGATATGTATGGATTAATAATAATTTAGTTTTGGATTTGAACTTAAATTATTATTTGTATGTATAAAAATTTATGTAAAATACATAAAATTTTCTTGAATTTTGAGATAGTTCATATGACTCCCTCAAATTTAAACATTTAAAATTAATTTCTATAATCATTAATTTTATTTTTTAAAATCCCCTACTGTTAATTAATTATTATTTTATTAATATAATTATTATCATGTCAAATTAATGTAATACCCGTGGCATATGACATGAAATTTTTTTTTATTTTTTTAACATTGTTCAATGAGAGAAAAATTATAATTTTTACTTTTAATACAAATGATGATGCTCTTTTTTTTAGTTGAATGATATTATTTTCATTGTTCATGGGTAATATAACTTTTAAAAAATTATAATGTTATTATTTTCTTATCAACTAAAGCAAGCTTTTACATTAAAAAATATATATAAAAGCTGTCATTAATAAGAATCATATAAAAGGCTGTTTAATTGATAAAGAATAATAAGAATCATATAAAAATATCTAAAACAGACTTCTATCAATGGTTAGAGGTTGTTTAGATTAGTAAAAATTTGAATTTAGATTTGAATTAAATTTTTTATTTGTATATAAAAATTTATGAACTTAGATTTCGTTGTCAAATTATAATTATTTTATAATTTCAAATTCTTTTCTCTACATTGTAGTCATTAAAAATTTTAATCACTTCAAACATTTTATTCTTTTCGTATTTTCATTATGTATACTTTTGTAACTATAATATCTTTTTGTCTGTGTGCGAACAACAAATAACAGGCATGCTAAAAATGTTGAGTTTCAATTGATAACAAAAGGATCCCGAGTTTCCTTACCACAATTCACTCGAATATAAAAGATACGCAAGACTTTGAAGAATAAGTGTTTTTTATTTTTATTGAAATGTGAAGGATTATAAGTCTAAATTAAAAGTAAAAGCTAAGAGTGTAGAATATGAGTCTTTATTGTGAGTTGACTGCCTTTCTTTTATATTTTCATATCTTATTTATAGTGTCAGAGTGATGATAGTCTTTTTCTTAAAACCTAGAACATTTTGTCAAATAATCAGAGATCTCACGAGACTCATGGCATGATCTTTACTCAGTGTTTTTCATTTTTGACAATTAGCTCGTCTCATCGAGATACTGGAGCACAATTTCCGTAGATTCCAGAATCACTAGGAATCATGTCTTTATGTGCCAACAATATTTCAGCATGTTCATCCTATTATGACCTTCTATTGAGCTCGGGGCCAGCTCCTTTTTTCAAATTGAATCTAATTTTTCAGTCACTCAGCCCAAATAGCTTTGTGACCTATTGAGCGACGTTTTATATTTTAGCCCAAATAATTTTATTATTTATTATCAATTAAAAAATAAAAATAAACTCATCATTTTTAATTTTTACTATCATTTCAAATCATAGTTCATCCTTTTCTTTATTTAAAACTTTTAAAATTTTTCAGACAAAAGATTTTAAATATATGAATTTCAAATGTCAAATTTAAAATGCAAGATTTTAAATTTAAAATACAAATTCAAATATAACAATCCAAACAATACCTAACATTATTCAAATCATATATCATGCTATAAATGCATAATACGATAAAAGTATATCAAAGTAGCTGCGAAATGAATAAAGGAATTGAGCTCTGTGAAGCCAAATTGAAAATCCTCCGTCTGAAGAGTTCTGTAATTGAATGGAGTTGCGTGCCTCACTGCATGAATGAACTGAAAATAACATTAAACATGACAACTACATGCAGTCGGACAATGCTCCTATCACGGGACAGTGTAAGGAGAGTTCGGCTAAATTATTTTTTAAAAAATAATTTGTACTAAAAAATAACTTAATATTATCAATTAATATTAATATCAAAAGAATCCCCTGCATAGCAGTACTTAAACACAAAAAATAAATTATATTATATGATTTTTGACTTGTGAGCAGCTCTTTGTACTGCTTATATTGTATATTAATTATATTTATATATTAACGTTAATTGACATGGTGATATCAATACGTCACTACTTAACGTTTCAATATCACATGAAATTCGGGGTCGGAAAGTTTGTGAGGGTTTTTTATTTTTTTCTATTGTATTGAAGTTGTTCTTATTTTTTTAAAAAAAAATTAGAGTATTCAATACATTTTACTTCACCTATCTTCAACTCCAGTCCTCTGGCCAAAAAAAAAAAAAAAAATTCAGTCCCGGTGGTTTAAAAAAAACAAAAAAACAAAAACTCCCATGATGCTGGACCAGTGGTCCTGATGTGCATCAAAAGAAGGCTCTATCTCGAAACAGAAACAATAAATATCTATCAGCTATCGCCTCATTTCGTTGCCCTGATCAATGCTGTCCCTCTCAACCTCAGCTGCTTGACATTACCTGTCGTTCACTTTCCTTTTCTTCTTCTTCTTGTTTTTTTTTTTTTAAAAAATCAAGTTAGCTAACCCCTGTATCTCAGAGAATTTGAGTTTTATATGTTTTATATGTGTTTAGTATATAGCTTTTGATAAATTTAATCTTTTATTTGATAGAGGTACGTTTAATTTAATTATGAATAAATTTATATGTCATTCGAGATGCATGTATTTATGCGGGATTAGGCATCAGTGCAACTTGCAGATATAATTCATCGGCAATTAATTTTAAATATTTATTTTTCTAAATGAGAAGATATGCACAGACTTTTTATGCGAAGTAGGATTAAACCCCATTGTAAAGAATTATGAATATTACCGACTTCTGGTGGATTTTTTGTTGTGAACAACCACTAGTACAAAATAAGGAGTTTAAGGGACACTCTCTATATCGATTGAAAACAAATGATACAAAAAGTGAAAATAATGATATTTTTATAATTATGTTGGGAGGTTGATGACTTTTTACAGTAGGTGCTTACTAAACCAATGTAGATAACTTATTTTTCACATTGGTTCATCAAAACTCAAGGTAAAAAGTGGAATAACTTTTTTTTTTCTTTAAAAAAAAGATTTTCAACATCGGGTGGCCTCCCCTCAGTGTGTAAAGGCCACCCAATGTAGAAACTCATGTTTCTACATCAGGTTCTATCTACATGATATTGAAAAGGAGTTTTTACATCGAGTGTCTTATACCTGATTTAGAAGCTCCTTTAAATTACTCCCTCTTTCAGCACTTCCTCATTCATTTCACACCAACCCCTCCCTCCCTTCCTTTTTCCTGATGTCGCCAGCCCTTCCCCTCCTCTTGGTGCTGTATGACCCCCTCCCCTTATCGTTCTGTATGTGCACAACCCCACTCCTCCCCACCACACAACCTCACTCCTCCCCCTTGTCGTTCTGTGTGCAACCATCGACCACCACTCCTCCCCTACCTTTCATGACCCCATTCCCCTTTCTTTCTACTGTGCATTACCCTACTCCTCGGCTCCTCCATGTGAGACCCCTTTCTCCTACCACGCAACCCCAATCGTCTTTCCTACCACGTAAGGCCCTTGCCCTCGTCTTCCTCTTCCCCCATTCCTCCTCCTCTGAAGTTTCTTCAAGAATGCCTTGTATTTTTTTAATTATGATTGTTAATATATATTTATATAATTATTTAATTTAATTTAAATTTAATTATAATGTATGTTTTTATTAATTCTTTTAATTATTTAGGCTGTTTATATATATATATATATATGATGATATATAATTATTGCTTAGGAAGTGCTGTTAGTAGCTATCTAATGCCCTAAGTTGATGCATGTGATGAAGTTTTTGTTGAAATTTGTGCCCTATAGTCAATCATTGTATTATACACATTGTTATTTAATAAATTTTTATTATTATTATATCAATTGCATGTTCACCATGATAACTGTATTATTAGATAAATTATAGTGATTGTCCTGAATGTCCTTGATCAATCATCTATAAGGGATCATAGATAAAACAAGACTAGTATGACTTTGATTAATTATAGAGATATAAATCAAAGTCATAGGCACTTGAAAGAGTATAAGGTGTTGGACCGATTTGCTATAAGAAAGTTGCATAGTACAAGTCATAAGCTTATATCATATGTAACCATATCACTAAGCCCTTTGACTTGATATCATCATGGATTCCTACATGATGACTACTGAACTTTGACCTAGTCAAAAGTCACCTATGACTGGGTGATCATAAAGGCTATGATTGAGTTTAGTGATATTTAAGCAGAGGAATATGAGTGGTCAAGATGAAATTTATCTCTCACATTAAATGAGAGATATTACTGGGCCCCTCGATGAGTAAAACTGAAAAAATGTATGCCCATACTATAATAGAAAGAGTTTTTTCATTGTTATAATCAATTCACTTAGAGATCAAGAAAGTAATGGAAGTAAAGGAGAATGATAATTTCATGTCTCATACTTGACCAAAATATTGCGTGACAAAATAAATGTGATATGGTTATATGATAGGTTACGTCAGATCATCAATCCCCATATGAATTAGATAGTTGCAACATTTTGCTAGAGGTCACTGGTTACTTGTGGGCTAATAGCGTAATTAGCCTATTATCAACTTTATATGGACTTATAGAGTCGCACACAAGAACAACCCAACTCAAGCTTTAATGTCCAAGTTCAATGAATCTGAAATATGTTTAAATTTAATGAATGTAATATATGATGAATGAATTATATATATATATATA